CGCCGGACCCGGGCGTCGGGGCTGCGTGCCCGGCCCTGCCGCGTGTCGGCCGGCAGAGCGCGACGAGGCCCGAGCGGGGCGGCGGGGGTGCCCTCCCTGGCACCGTCCCAGGCTGAGCTCTGCCGCTGTGCTGGGCTGGCACAGCCGGCCGGGCCGTGCTCCCCGGCGTGTCCCGACTCGAGCTGGACTGCAGCCCCCCGGAGCCTGCCTGCGAGCGGTTCCCCAGGCGTGGAACAGCCCTGCGATGCAGCAAGCTCACCTTAATACTTGTTCTCTCCGCAGGCTCCGAAGCTGGCTGAGACCTATTGCGTCTGCCACCTGGCCACCGGGGACATGCTGCGGGCCATGGTGGCCTCAGGGTCGGAGCTGGGCAAGCGGCTCAAAGAGACGATGGATTCGGGGAAGTTGGTGGGTAGCAGGGGGACGTGCTGGTGGGGGAGACGGCCTGGCAGCACCTGTAATAACAGTAATCAAAACCTACCCTTTAATGAGAGGTCTATGCGACAAAACCCAATTAGAGAGGAGGAAGGGTGGGACGTAGGGGGGAAGGCAGGGACGTGGGGGTTTTCCTCTCCCCTCTCTCCTGCAGAAAAAACAACCTATAAAAACATCCTTTTTCTTCAAGATTCCCACTTACTTAACAACGACTCATGGGTCCCTGGGTTGTTTCTTTCTCTCATGATGCTTCTGCGTTCATGGGTACAGGGTGCGGTCTGGGTTCTGGCTCATAAACACTCAGTTTGATTGTAAATTTTACATCCTTGGAGCTGCAGGATGTTATGCCCATGCTTTGTGCCTCCTGTGTCCCTCACATGATGCCTAGACCCCTGTGGGGTGGAAAACTGCTCAGAGGTTTCAGCTGCATCCCAGCCTTGGTTTGCCTGTGACTGTTAAGGTGAAAATAGAGACTTGGGAGTGCTACTGTGGTACCTGCAGTTGGTACTGTGTAATGCTGTGTGAGAGACTCACTTGGGATCCTAAAGAGGCAGCAGTTAGGATCTCTAACACATTCACCTCCTGAGGATGTAATCATCTTGCCAAAATGTCTGAAATCTCTTGGGGGAAACCTGAGGGATGGCAAATGGCAGTGACTGGCCCCCAAGCTATGCAGCACGGGGCAGATCTTGGGAACCTTCCTTGGGGTGCTAGGAGCCCGTGACAGCCAGCAGAGTGATGCCCAAGGAGAGTTTGTAGGCCCTGGGATGGAAGAGTGACGTGGCTTATCTCCAGCCTCCACTTGAAGCTTGCGTTGCAACACTGAGTCTGCAATACCCCAGCTGTTTATGAAAGATAGGGACGTTATCTAGAAAGGCTAGTGGTATCTGTCATGCGTGTGTTGCGGAGGACACCAGGCTGCTCTGCCTGTGTGTCCTAGTGGCATATTCTGGTTTTGAGATAACTTAGCTGAAGGGAGCACAACAGCGTTCAGAGCCTGGCATGAGTATTCATGCTTGATTACAAAGCAGGACGCCCCTCTCCAAAAGGGAGGGCTGCAGTAATCAGGAAAGCGCAGAAATAACTTGTCGCTTCATGCAAACATCCCCCACCCATACACCTGCTCCAGGGCTCTTGTTTCTCTGCTGTGACAGTCTGGTCCTGAATCCTGCCGGATCTTAGCTCTGTGTGTTGGAGAAAATTCCATTGCTGCCGGCAGAGAGAACTATTCTCAAATAAACTGCTATTGTTGGGGCTGCAATATCTGTTAGTGCTTTTCAAATGCTGCAGCATAGAAAAGGAACTAATCCCAGAGGTATGCTGAGATCATGACATGGGAAAAACTTGTCAGCAACTATTTGGGCACTTACCTTCACGCTAGGTTTACGAGTCAACGAACAGCTCGCCTGCTTTACCCTTCCTGGCTGGGCCTGCCTACCAAGGAGACTCGTACGTGAAGGGTACAAAGTAACAGGAATTAAAGGTTATGTTACTTTTAAACCAATTCCTGATACAACCAACGCTGATATCAACACCTAGGTAGTTTGTCTTCAGGCTGACGGACCCTTTGAAGTAGGGCAGCCCTTGTTAATTGAATGCTGAGGTTAAAGCTCTAGTCTGAGTCCCTGCATGGGCCAGAGCGTCCCTGGCGTGAAATGTCTCGTTAGCCACGTCTTAATGTTGACACCCGTCACAGGGAGTGCTTCCCTGACATGGGCACATCTGAACATGCAGGTTTTGCCCTGTTACAGTAGTCCCTGTGCTGTTACTGTTGCCTCCGGGGTTAGGAAGGGCTGTAAAAAGGCTCTGATTGCAGGCTGGGCACTGGTGCGATGATGGGAGCTCTGAGGGCAGCTGCATGTGAAATCAGGGTGTGCCCTGGGCAGAGCTGGGCCAGTCCTGCCTCCCGCATGTCCTGACCATGCGCACATCTCCCCCTCCGCAGGTGAGCGACGAGATGGTGGTGGAGCTTATTGAGAATAACCTTGACTCCCCTCCCTGCAAAAATGGCTTCCTTCTGGATGGCTTCCCACGCACTGTGAGGCAGGCAGAAATGGTATGTGAGCTCCCATCTGGGGACTGCTCTGGCATCGCCTTCCTCTCTGGAGATGGGGTCCCTTGGCCATGTGTCTGCCCCCTGAGTCAGATGTCTTCTGTTGCAGCTGGATGAGCTCCTGGAGAAGAGGAGAGAGAAGCTGGACTCTGTCGTTGAGTTCAGCATCCCCGACTCCTTACTCATCCGGAGAATCACTGGACGGTAACTCTCCTTTCCCAAAAACTCGGTGCATGGGAGAGGATTTCCTGTTTTGTTGGAGAACATCCTCATTTTGGATCCTCGGGTCGTTCTCGCAGCTCTTTGGGCTAGCTGCAGTCCCAGTCTGTATTAGATTTGAGCCTTCTTGGCTTGATCCATCGCCTGCTCTTCCTGGCCTAAGCCAGCCTTGAACAGAGCCCCTTTGCTGCCCTATAAATAGATGTTGCTGATGGGAATCAATGTGCTGGGTGACCCAGCTCAGATGTTAAGCCCAGTGTCTGACAGCTAATGCCTTCGTGCTGTTGCTTCTCTGGTGCTATTACGGCTCCCTTATGTGAGACAGGGCACTGCTGAACAACCTGTCCAGGGTCAGCCGTGATCCTGCACGGACAGAGACATCTTCCACTGTTCCTGCGTTGCCCTCGCGCTTCCCTGAGCTAACCCCCCTTCCCCAGTAAACCGTCCCTCCTCCATCTCCTAATGCAGCTGCTTTTTTCAAGTGCTTGAAGAGGCCCTTGGTACAGAAATAGCTAGAAGAGATTTTCTTAATAGAGAGAGACTAATTGTCTTGCTGTTGCAGATGTTTCCATGCTGATGAGCGGCAGGTCCAGGAGACCTTGTCCTGGCACAGGGTTACTTTGCTGACACTTGCTTTCTGTCTTAGGCTGATTCACCCAGCAAGTGGCCGTTCTTATCACGAGGAGTTCAGACCCCCGAAAGAGCACATGAAGGACGATGTATGTGAGCTCCTGAGGCCAGAGCTTACATTGCTTTGGGTTTAGCTGATGCTTTGCAGCATCTCTGGAAAAACTTTTCTTTCTCTCATATCTTCTGTCCTGCCTTTCTGGGGAGCATGGGGAACTGCCTGGGCAGCCTGAGCCGACCGCACCGCGGGGAGCGAGGCCCGCAGGGATGAGTGAAGGGCATGGCCATTCAGCAGAGCTAGCCTGGGCTCTGCTAGCCTCAGAACTCATTTGACTCTGTCCAGAGTTCACGCCGCAGTGGGTTGCGACTGACTGTGCTCCTGGGGAGCAACTGTAGCTGGCGTTTGCTCTCAAGGCTCCTTGGGCTCTCTTTAGCAAGCAGAGTGGTGTGTGGGGGAAAGGCCGCGATGATGAACCCTTCTCTCTTCGGTGAACTGCTCTGGGACTTGGTTCAGCTGCCCTGGGCTCACCCCATTCTCCTGTGCTGACCTGGGGACTCGCCTCTGCAGCTCCACGTTGTAGCCTGACTTGGAGGAGGGGAACGGGTTGTCGTAGCTGCACAGAGAAGGGGGGAGCGTGCCAGGCTGCAGCTAGCTGGAGACTGTCCCCTTGCTTCTCCCAGGTCACTGGAGAGCCTCTGATCCGCCGTTCAGATGATAACGAAACTGCCTTGAAAACCCGCCTGAAGGCCTATCACACGCAGACCTCCCCCCTGGTCTCCTACTACAGCAAGCGAGGGATCCATACGGCAGTGGACGCCTCCCAGTCTCCCGACGTCGTGTTTGCTAGCATCCTGGCAGCCTTCTCAAGAGCAACATGTAAAGACCTGGTTATGTTCATTTAGGGCTCCATCCTAGGATGGAGTTCTCCTTTTTTCCTCTCTCTCTCTCTCTCTCTCCATCTCTCTCTGTCTCTTTGGGGCTAGGGAGGGTGAAGAGCTAGCAGAGTAGAAGAGGGGATGATGCAGCCCAAGGCAGGGCTATGCAAATTCTCTATTAAACAAGCTGTTAACGGTCTCTATCTCAGTATATGTGCATGTCAGTCTGTCTGCAGCTGCTGGTGATTTGGCCCCTAGAGGTCGCAGTGAGCCCAACCTCCAGTCATCTGCTGCCAGAAATGGGGTTTGCACCCCTTTGGATCAAAAGGCTTTAGTTTCCTTGTAGAGCTGTAGCTCCCTAGGAGAAAGAGATGCACTTTCTGCTGTTCCTGGCTGCTCTGCAGGGAACTAGCAGGAGAGTGGAGGTCGGGACTGAGTAGAGGGGCTACAGACCTTCACAGGGTACCTCTGACTGCAGGAAATAAAACACGAGGGCCGCTTGTGGGAAGCGTATGAAAGGCTGCATGTGTCGGCTGGGGGAGCTGCTGTGGGAGGGAAAGCTTGGCTGCGTCTGTGAGTGCATCCTGCTGCTGCTCAGGGCTGGGTGAGAGCTTGTTCTCGTTGTGTGTTTCAGTCTCTGTGTGACAGCAAGCTCCCCTGGAGCGCAGTTTGTTTTCCTCCCCGTTCTGTTGGTGCTCATGGGGCAGACAGAAAGGGGGTGAGAGCTGGAGCTTTTCAGTCTCTCTTCATCTCTGGACCCCTAAACCTTTTCCAGTTGAGGTGTGGACCCCCAAAATACTAAATGCTAGTGAGATGCTGTTTTCTCTTAACAAGACAGTGCGGCCAGTTGGGACCTGCTGAGGATAAGAATAGGACTTGGAAGTCAGTTTTCTCCTTGGCCAAAGCCACGGGAAGAGTGAAGAGAGATGAAGATGTGTTGAGCCTCTCCTGATCCCAAAGTCTAAATAAAGCCTTATTTCAAAATGAGTAATTTTTCAAGGCCTGGGAGACAGAGTTATTAACCACTGCTTTCACGTGCCCTTGAGCCAGCGACCTTCCTTATGAGATCACGGAAATGTACTTGTGTGGTTTTTTTTTGTGTTTTTTTTTTTTTTTGAGCAAATCAAACAGCTCAGTCTGGCTCTCCGTTTGAGGACATTGTGTGCGTTGTGGTTAGTGCCCCAGCTTCCCAGGACCTTATGTTGCTATATAGCAACCCTATAAGCTAGTAATGACCTTTGCCCCTGTAGGAATTCAGCTCTACCTAGAGGCCCCTGCTGTAAATACAGACTGGCCCAGATAAAACTTGCTGTCCTTTGGCCTTCCATCTATGTTTGCTGACTTAGTGTTACTGAGTACCTTTCTCTTAGGGGAGATGACATGTCTCCCTCCGCTGTGTGCCAAGCTGCCATGGGTGGTGTGTCCAGAGCAGATGTCCAACCCTCAGGAATCCTTTACTCTTTTTCTTGGTAATTTCTCTTTTTTCAGAAAATCATTCACTGTCACATTTACGTCCTTTCCAAGGAAACAATCTCTTCTCGTTCAGCAAACTGGAAATAATCCTAGAAACTGAAAGCAGTCTTCTTGTTGCTCTTGAAAGCATGTGACTGCCAGGAGAGGGGTCTGAAAGTAACCAGTAGTTCTGGTTTCGTCAGCAGCCCGTAGTCCCCTGAGATTTCCCCAGATGGCCATTGCCTTGTTGCTCGTCTCTCGCTTTCCTGTGAAAGGGCAGCCCCAGCACATGGAGTCAGTGTGCTGGGAGGTCAGGATAGCAGCAGCAGAACTGTTGTGCTGCAAGCAGCAGAGAGGAGACTGCGTACGTTAGAGCTGCTTCTTCATCTCGATGAATATAAAGACATTACGAGCGGAAGCAGCTTTTATCTTGGCATTTCTTGGCCAGTTCATGTTCCTGGATTTGGTCAAGGTTTTACTCCACAGCAAGAACAACGTGTTCTTCCGCTCTTTGCTCCTTTCCTCCTCGTGTTCACTTTGTATCCAGCTCACCAGCCTTTCTCAGCCATAAACGATGATTCATTTTGGTTTTTTCCCCCTAAATCTATTTTTTTCTCTCTTTGTTCCCATTTATTCCAGCTGAGTGACTCCGTGAACCAGATGAGACACCACCAAACGCTGCACACTCTGCTACATCACCCATTGCATCCCTCCCTGGGGCACGGGGGAGGCAGGGAGGGCAGTTGGGAAGGGGGTATGATTGCTAAGAGGGGAAAAAGAGGTGGTAGACAAGGGGAGTTGGGGTTGATTTGGTTGTTTTTTTGTTTGAAATTTTATTCATCAGAATCATTTTGAAGAGAAGACGCTCCTCTCTTTAGAAGTCAGTGTTTGGGGAGGCAAAACAAGTGTAGAGGGAAACATCTATGCCGATGATCAGACCCAGGTCTTTGAACTGTTAGGAGGATAGGGCTAGATGCCGTTTCAGGCGCTCTTCTCTTTAGAAATCAGTGTTTGGGGAGGCAAAACAAGTGTAGAGGGAAACATCTATGCCGATGATCAGACCCAGGTCTTTGAACTGTTAGGAGGATAGGGCTAGATGCCGTTTCAGGCTTCTCCAGGACTTTCAGTGTTTGTCTCATGCGCCCCTAGTACTCTGCAGCCACTGTAAGGTTTGTTGTGATTTCTAAATTTGATTCCTGTCAGTAAGGACCAAAATGAACAAGTGACTCGTTAGCTCTGAATTGGAAAGAGAAAAGAGATGCCATGGTCTTTTCCTGGAAGTTTTGTTTTCTCTTGTTCCACTGCATTCCTCAACCCTGGCACAGAGATTTCTCAAGGTTTTTCTGCTGCTGAACAGAGGGGCCATGGTTCTACTCCAAGCCTGCCTTACTTGGTGATAGGGTGACTTTTCTGCGATCTTGAGCAAACTGGAATTAGCATAACGCTGAAGAAATGCAAAAGAGACTTTCTTACTTGACTGCAAAAATGACACTTAATTGGTGTTTGCATTTCTTTATGGATCAAATGGTGCCTTGTCTAACCTCTGAATCAATAATAAAATAACCCCTTTACATTTTGTATCTGTTGCTGCGTCCTCTTTGACCTGCAGACTGCGTGGAAGAAGACAGGGGGCAGATGACAGCATAGCCTACTAACAATTGAGCAGGGTGGATCTTCTGGCCTGATCCTATCTCAAGGATGTTTTTCTGTGCACTGAAAAATGCGGCTTGTAATGTATTTCTTTTCCTCGCTGAATGTGCTCCAATGCTGCGTTATCACCATAGCAATGTTGTCTCTTGCTGGTTGTCTCTCCTGTTTCTTGAGGTGTGGAGCTGAAAGCGCTGAGCCCCTGTGTCTCCTGACCTCTTTCTGGCCAGAGCTCCTTTCAGGTATTTTTACAGCTGACATAATTCCCAGCCATTTTTCCCCCTCCCTTCCCACTAGCATCGCTAGTGTGTGGAGGAGCTGATGTGCTTTCTTTCTCTTTCTCTCCTCCTGCAGCAACTGCAAGCCAAATATCATCTTCTGTTCCCACTGATTTGTCCTGTGCCTCTCATGGCTTGTCGCATCCTCCCTTCCCCCACCGTGTCTCTCTAGCTACACACACAAAATCTGCTCTAACAGAGGGTTTGAGAGCATTTTCTTGTCTCCCTTTATCTTGCCTCCACAGGGACCCTGACCCTCTGACTGGTTCTCTGAGGTATCCCAGAGAAAGGCTGTTCTTGATGTGCTGATGAAGGCTCTTTGTTTCTCCACAATGCCCTTGGTACCACGATTGCAGCCCTGCTTGTGGTTGGTGCTTTGATTTAGGCACTGTGAACAAACATCAGAAAGTGTCAGGGTGCATACGCCCATTTCCTCCAGAAATGACTGATTTCTTCAGCGTTATTGGGCTCTCTTGCTCCTCAGTCATTCAGTCTCCCTGTGCGCTAGTGTTTTTTCTTACCTCTCTGATTAACATCTTCTCTCCTTTGAAGGCAAGCTCGTGCTTCTCTGGCATTTGTGGTACTCTTCCCTCTTATCTTTTGATGAGCGATGTTAAACTATGCTCTTCCTTGTTATTTGTGATTGTGCCTTCTCGCTACATGCCTACTGTTGTTTTAAAAAAAAACTTGTTCTGCCTGCTCCTCCAAAATTTCTAGTGCATGGGACAGAGACGTCTTGGCCCCTCTGAGTTGGGCTGCTTCCGTTTGATCCCCAACTTATCCAAGCGTGGAACGTGAAACGCGTTGTTGGGTCGCTATGGGAATGGGGTGCTGTGGAGAGGCTATTTTAGCTCAAGCAAGCCCACGTCCTCTGTACTTGGATCTGTTCTATGACCTGTCTCTGTCACGTTGACCTTGAATGTTTTCACAGCATGGGATGCTCTGCAGGTGCTGTAAATTCCTTCTGTTAAATGATTTCACTCCAGCAAGCTGCTTATCAGGCATTCTTTTGAAAATTGTGTTCATATTTCATATGGACAATTATTCAGCAACTATAAAAGGGAAAAATTCCTATTTATAGCACAAGGACCAGCATCAAATAGGACACTGAATTCTCTCTGATAGAGGAGTGACCTGTTCTCTAATGCAGCAATACTTCTGCTGAAAAGAAGTGGCATCTTGGATGGGGGGAAGGGATGAAAAGCCTTAGGCCATCTCTTTCCATTAAAGATGTGCTGCAGTCCTAAAAATGTAGTATCTGCCCTTCTCCCTTCCTGATGAAACCATCTGTGAAAGATAATACTGCAGAACAGCCTTTCATTGTGGATTTGTGGTGAGTAATAATGAGTGACTTGTGATGCCCTTATTTGGAGCTGGTCTTAAGTTTGTGATCGATGCCCGATCCCTGACCTTGGGCTGGGAGCAAGGGCAGTCATCGCAAAGTGTGTCTGCTGTGAAAAAATAGCACAAATCCCTGGCCTGTATAGAGCTTACACGAGGGGTGATCACAGTACGTGTATGTGCACAGCCCTGATGCAGAAAGAGCACGTGGGACTGAGGAACAAAGAACGGGCTGAGAGCAATGAATGGTGGGGATGGAAAGGTGGGGAGAATGTGCGCTGGGCTGGTGCTGCGCAGCATGGCTCGGGGGACGTGCACAGTAACTGCTACAGAGAAGGTGAGTGCCTGTTTCGCCTGAGCCTGCCTCGAGTGATTGCGTCTCTGCTCTCCCTTCCCTTTCCCTAGGTATGTGAAGGCATGCCTTCCTCACCGTGGCCACGCTCGCATCACTGGCCTTTGCCTGCCACTGTTCTCCCACCCTGTTCTGTCCCTTCCCCTGGTTTCCAGGCTCTCTTTAAGAAGAGCTGCAGGGGGTGAGACCAATGAGGCCCTGGGAGGTAGAGGACCAGGAGATGGGATTCCCCCTTCTGTTGCTGTGGCAACGGTTGCGAAGGGAAGCAGCAAACCCCACGACCAGAGGGGTGTGATGGGGAGGCTGCCTGGCTGCGGAGGAGTGCCATGGGGAGGCTCTGTGGCTGCGGAGGCAGGGCTGCAGTGACATCACGCTGGGGAGGTGGCGCAGAGTGAAGGCGAGTGGGAAAGGGAGAGCAAGGGAGGCTGCAGAGGGAAGGGAGCTGCATCAGGAGTGAGCTTCAGGGTGAGGTAAGAGACCCTCTGGAGGCAACGGGTCAGGGTGGGCCCCATGGGTGGGTGTGGGATCAGAGCCTTCCTCAGTGTCTGTCTGGCTAACGTGCTGATGTGAGCTGGCTCTTGGGCAGCAGCAAGAGTACAACGCCCTAATATCTGGCACCACAGGGCTTGGCTTTTGGACAGCAAGACCAGGTCAGAGCCCGGCTGGCTGGTGCTGAAGCTGCAAATGTGTCCCCCAGGACACCAGTGTGCATGTCACTCACTGCATGCTTGGAAGAGCCAGGAGCACCTGAAACTTCAGGATGGTCTAAAGGGAGTGGGAAGCATCCCTGGTCCCTCTGGAGAGGGGTGCCAGAGTCCCCTCTCAGGACTAGGGCACAAATTGTTGCACAAATGAGTCAGAAGTTGGGAAACCCAGTCTGCCCCTGTCTGCATCTAGCTAACAGGGGGCTGTAAGCAGAGCCGGTGCACTGGGACACAGCCAAGCAGTGTGCATTTGGGGAGGGTGTCCTAAACTACACATCTCTAGCAGCCTCAACACTTACCCTGCCAGTGCAGGAAGCAATAGTTCTGGGGAAGGCAGCCAGGTACGTGTTTATTGCCAGGAGCTACCTGGATGTTGATCCTGGGGATCTGCAGACCTGGAAGGCAGAATAATGAAGTCCTTGAATCTGCCCTGGATGTCATGTTGCCTTTTAGCATAACGGTAGCATAACGGTTGCATAACGGGATCCAATCTGCTAGCAGAGAACAAGGGGTGACGGTCACCTTTGTGCCCTGCAGCAGCACAGTGGTACCTAAGCACTGTACTGGCCAATGGCCGGGGGTGAATTTCATCTCTTTCTAATCCAAAAGTTAGGGTGAAAGAATGAGCCCAACGCTTGAAAAAGTTGGTGATATTACAGCTTGGCAGAGAGGCATATAGACTCTATACCTACCAGCAGGCTGGACAGCAGGACCATGCAGCATGTTAGCAGGCTAGAAAGTGAGTTCATTAGCACCCCCTCACCCTGTGCTAACTTGATTTCATCCACCAGGATCCACAATGTGTATCTGACTACAGAAAGTGCATCTGGGTTCAGAAAACCCATTGCTGGCAACCCCCTGTGGGTGTCAGAAACTAGTTACTGGGGTGGAGATGGAATCTCAGCTGAGCCAATGCCCTTGACACAACTGTTTTGTTAAAATCATTTTCACGCGTTTCCCATGTTTGCAGACTGCAAGAAGTTACCTAAAGGACTGGGGACAGCAGTGGGGACACAGAGAGATGCAGCCAGGAACGCTTGAGTGTATATGAGAGAGCAGAATTGCAATAAGGAGAATAAATATGCTTTAATTAGGCAAGGATGTTGATGCAAGGATGTTGATACAAGGTGCATGACCCTGCCCCATGACAGTACAGATACTGGGTCTATATAGAGCATTTGGGAGTGGCCTGGGGTGGCTACACAGCAGCTTACTTTATGGTAAGTCTGCAAACTGCAACAGATTGTGCTGCTGTGTGTGACTTACAGGGGAGTGTTGAGTCAGAGGCCCCACAGCTGAAGGCCTTCAGAAGCAGGCTGGCTGAGGGGAGGTTGCAGTGTGGCTACAGGGCCAGCTACATTTGGTGTCTCTGACACGGGCACATGAGGAAGGAGAAGCCCTGCTAGCACCTCTCTTTATGCTGGCTTTCAGGGGGAGGGAGCCAGCAGGGACTTGCTGAGGATGGGCCCAAGCAGTCACAAGCGTCCCTGCCTGGTGCTGCCCAAGCCGGGCTCCTGTTTGCGGTTTGGAAAGGAGGTAGGGAGGAGTTAACGTCGTACTCCTGCAGTTTCCTTCCCTGACGCTAGTCGCTGGCCATGCAGAACTGCAAACACGGCTAGGGCTGTTCCTAAGTCATGTTGCAACTTGATTTTTCAAGGCTATTCAAAATTTAGTGGGGATATGAGACCAGGACCTTTTACAAGCAAAAAGCCTCATGACAACCCTCCTACTCCCTGACCTTCTCCACTGCTCAGCTGTTTCTCCTTGCTGTTCCCCCTATAACTTGTCTACATTGTGAAGGGAACAATCACGTGAAAATTACATAGTCTGTGCCTCCACATCAGCTAAAGCAGCTGAGTCTACAACATGCTTTGAGTGCCTTCAAGCAGTCACGCTCTGCAGTGGTGCTATATTCTCTGCACATCTGGTCCCTACCACAGGCAATCACTGGGCAGATGTGGGACCTTTTTGTAGTGCTGCTTTTGCACAGGAGGAGGGATGGCAGGTGCTTTCACTTGCCAAGGATACAGCAAACAGATGCACTGGGAACTTGTGATCTGCTGATACCTGGCCCCTAACACATGCCTGCTTGGGAAAAAAGGGCTACAGACCTGCAAGCTGCTGTGGAGGCCTGGGGCACCAGGAGGAGCTGCCTTTTGTGCCAGTGTCCAGAGAGGGCCCTGTCAGCTAAGCTAGGTCCTGCAAGATGTTTTAATCCTTCCTGTTCCGTGGTCTATCTTAGCTGGGACTCCACTGCAGGGGCTGTTTTCCAGTTCCTTTGGCAGGGACACACACAGGCACTCACAGACATGGATCTTGTGTTTGTTTTCACTCCTTATCTGGTATGTTGAAAGCCAATGGGGCAAGCAGCTCAGCAGGTACGCCAGGGAGAGAGGGTGGGTGTGTTTCTGTTACTGTCTGGGCCACCCTGGAGTCCCCTCTACCGTCTCACTAAACACCAGCTGGAATTTCCCTCTGCTGAGGTGGCTGTTTGTATAATAGCCAAGGTCACTTGAGCAATCAATAGTTCCCTAGTTCTTAACGGAAATATTATCCCTCTGCTTAGCCAAATCAGCATTTACATCTCTGTTAGAAACCTGGCCTTAGCTCTTGCTAACTCCGAGGGGATCTAAAGGCGTTCTTGCCCTACCTGGGTCGCACCCTGTTGCTTTTTTTCCCCTCCTATCAGTGTCACCTTTTCTCAGTGTCACTGAGAAGGGCTGGAAGCATATGGAGAAATTGCCAAAGCTGTCCGACTCTCTTCAGTCTCAGCCTCCCTCCTGGCTGTCCCCCAGCAGCTCATTCTCTGCACTTGCTGCTCTGAGGAGGGCAGTAAGGACAGAGTCAATGGGATTCACACAGCCAAGTGTGCTACTAATACAAACCCCAATCCACAAGCTCCAGGAGAACTTGGCTCAGCCACTGCTAGCAAGAGAAAAGTCGCTCCCTTCATGCAGCAGGACCTGTATCCCAGGTCAGGGCAGAACCGGGGCTGGAAGACAAGGTGCCCATAGTAAGGCTCCACGGCTGCAAATTAACTTCCCTTGCAAACAGGCAAAGGCACTGACTCCCTGGAGCTCGATTTCCGCTGGTTCCATCGCAGACAGCCAAAGGCTGGGCCTTGGCTCTGGAGTTTCCTCTCACTGGAGGAGACTATGGGTTTTGTTCTGCTACTGGGACAGCTGGAACGTCCTTGCCGGGTATTGTTAGGGTCTCTGAGCATCTGTCACTTCAAAATCAGAAAAGGTCATGGAGACCCAAGAGAAACCCACTTCCCCTCTTCAGTGGAACTCTTCTTTCTGCCTCACACATGCTTTTGTTGCCATCTCTCACATGCCAAACGCAGGAACAAACACTGGGGCTTGGCAGGGCTCAGGGCCTTGGCTTGTACGATGGGAAAGAGGCATTCTTGGTCCTCAGCCCAGGGACAGGGCTCTGCTCCGTGTCCATTGCCAGTTTCCCCAGCTGTGATTTTGTTCTTATCCCGTGCCGAGAGCACTGTTCTTAACACATCTGGGGCTAAGCAGCACCCCTGGGTGCTAGGCTATGAATCCTGCAGGGAATCCATGGAGAGGGAGAAGGAATAGCTGGAGCAAGAACCAGAGCTACGTAAACGCCAGCATGCCACTGTGCTTGAGCTGCACATTCTAGCAGGAAGTGCAGGAGTAGCAGCACTGCACACTGAGAGGCTTTTCCCCAAATGTGCATGACTGCAGCAAAGGGAGGCTGTATACAGTGAGGCTGTCTCTGTTTTGCTTACATAGTGCTGCTACTGCCAACACTTGCCCCCGAGAGACTGCAGGGGGAGGGAACCCACGGCTTGCAGATAGCTGGGAGGCACTCGGCAGCTCCTTTGGTTTTCACAGCAGGCACGGGACCTTTCCTAGCACTCGAGGCAACTAGGATGGCAGCCTGGAGCAGAAAGGCCAGGCCTGGACAGATGAGAGATGGCCACAGCTGGAGCCTTCCTGCTAGAAGGATGCTTTGGAGCTACAGCAGGGCCTAGTTTCTGAGTAGTGGCTGAGGTCCCAGTGCATACTGACCACCCTGTAAACCTCCTGCTCAGCTCTCCACTGTGGACAGTCCAACCTCATCAGAGAATGTTTAAGCAAACTAGTCCCTGTTCTGACTAAGGCAACCCATGGATGAGACCAGCCCTAGAGAGGGAAGGGGTTCTCATGGTGGTGCTGGGGTCAGCTGGGAGTGGAGGGAGGGAGGAGAAGAACTTCCTGGCTGAAGTACCCATGGGCTCTGCTTGAAGTTAGAGAGAATGGGCTTGTGGTCTTGGCATCAGGCCAGGAGAGGGAAGGGGTGGGTCAGTGACAAACCCCAACAGAACAAACCCTGTTCACCTTTCCGTGCCAGCTCAGGCACGAAGGATGCTCCAAGCTACAGCTTCACTCTCCCCCTGCCCACCCCATTCTGCTGCAGACAGACAGCAGAAAGCAGAGCACAGGGCTCCCGCAAGAGCAGCTCTGGACTGAATCGGCCTCAGGGCAGGGGCTTAGCAGCCAAGTGTCCGGCTAGGGAAATATCACGTGTGAGACAGAGGGACCCTCCTCAAGCTGATTTTCAAAGTGAGAAGCTCATACATTTCCCACCTGGTAAATGCTGGCTCAGTCCTCTGGAAAATGAGACATGTTTTCCTCACTGCAAGGCCAGAGGAGTGTACGCTGGGAGCACTGTGTTACTTTCCCCATCCCGGCTGCAGACGGGAGGTGCTGCTGGTGGGTTCCAGAACGGCTCTTCTTTCCCCTTTTCACAGCTGTTGCTGGTTATGAAAATGGCAACATTCCCCAGCCAGTTCTCGGCAGGAACTGCCCTTTCCAGGGCTGACCGCATGGGCTGTTTCTTCCTCTTCCCTCCTCCTTACTGCTGCAGATCTGGGTATGTTTTAGTCTTGGCCAAGCACTGCCCTTCCCAGCTCCCTTTCTCTTCTGTTTTGATCCTCATATGGCGCATAGGAGAGGCCTGTGGGTCTGGCTTGCGAGGGGGAAATGCTTATTTCTTGGCCCTAGATCAATAATATTCTTTAGCCAATTCTCTTCCCAAAGAACAGAGAAAGAAATAAGAAATGCTGGGATCAGTCCTGCTGTGGGGATTTATTTCCCAAGCTGTCAATCTGCAAGTAAACCTTGATCTTAGCAACACAGAGATTCTCTTACACCAGCTACCATCCTCTCTCTTCGCAGCGTGTGAGGAAGATCACACCTCACAAGAGAGCTGTGGGTACACTATCATGACATCTTTCAGGAAATTCATTACTTCTTGTTTTATCTGATGCTAGCTTAGCAGACCCTGAGCATGTGTCTGCGGTACGGACAAGAGAACACTGGACAGAGCTTAACAAAGGCAGCAACGAGACAGCAGGACTCACTGCTACTGGAAGCTGTGGATATTCAAAGCTTAGCAAGATTCACAAAGGAATCAAGCATTTCTGTAGACAGCAAGACCGTACAGAAGTTACTGTTGATTACAGCTTCAGCAGGGTAGTAAACCCCAGGGCTCAAAGCTTAAGTCAGTTTCTGAGACAAAGGAGCGGATCTAGCATGAAAGGGAAATTACTCCACATCAGCCTACTTGCACTGTCTTTTGCAGCATCCAGCATTGGCTACTCAGAGAACACTGACAGCACAGAAGTAGGTGGATTCAGGCCACATCCTATTCAGCAGGGTGGGGGTTCCACTGGAAAGCCCCA